CAGCCTGGACCATGCACCAGCAATGGCCCTGACCTTGGCATTGGGCATGTGCATATGTGTAGACATGTGTGTCCAGGCTCTGCTGCCCTGGCTGCTGCAGGGACAGGCAGCGAGGCACAGTCTTCCCCTGCCTTCATGTCTGCTAGGCAGGGCAGGGCAGAGGGATGCTCTGCAGCACAGGGAATTGCCCCATCTCCCATACACAACTGGCGGGTCGGGAAGCCCGCTCAGCCAGGCTGCGTGCAGCAAGACGACACGCAGACCCAGGCACAGCAGCCCTAGTGCTCTCTGACCCAGAGCCCCACCATGCACCCAAATGCAGGGGTGCATATCATCTTTAGTGAAAGAGTAGAGGGGCCAGCTCTGCTCTTACGTGCACAAACAGGGGCTGAAGTGATGCAGCTGCTCTGGGGACCAGGCCATGCACCTCCTCGAAGCAGGACTCACCCAGCCCCATGGCCCCCACCGCTGAGCCGGGCTCTCAGGGTGACCACGATCCCTGCCTCTCTCTTGGTGGGGACGGGGTGGGTGCACACACAGCTCTGGAAGCTGCTCCAGGCTCGGTGCTCGCTCCCAGAGGGGCCACCTCAGCCAGACCCATGGCAGAACAACCATTACCTGAGACATAGCTTTGAAATTCCAGCAGTGACGCAGCCCCAGCACCAGCTGCCGTGAGGCCCTGCACTGTCACCGTGTATTTGCTTCCAGGCGTCTGAGGAGGTGGCATGTATTGAGTAACAGACTGGTTCAGCGACACCTGCTTGAATTCAAGGAAGCTGCCATCGTGCGCTCTCCTGGCTGTGATGTTCAGCTAGAGGAAGGACAGGGAGCTAGTGGGGAGCAGCACCAACAAAAAACGCGGCGGGGGCGGCGGCTGCTGCTGCCTGGGAACAGGAGGGCAGCTGACCCCACAGGAACATCAGCAGTGTAGAGCTGGTGGGCTCTGGCCAAGGAGGGCTCACACCTCTCCTCTGGGCTGCCCGCACAAAGCTGCAGGCAGGGAGGCTGCTGGCAAGGCAAGGGACCACGGGGAGTCCGTGGTTCCCAGGTCCCTGGTATCCGATGATCGCCCCTCTGCAGGAGGGCAGCGCCTTCCACCTGAGGCTGCTCGTGCTGGGATCCAGCCACAGCTCCTCTGGTTTGTCCGGCACTGGAAGCACAGAAGGACAGGGTCAGGAATGAGACCAGTGAGGATTTGTCCCCTACAAAGGCTGCATGTGCCACAGCAGCAGCAACGGTGAGGTGAGGAATGAGACAGTGAGGAGGGGACAGCCCCTTCCCCAGAGCCCCACAGGCTCCAGAGAGGCCCCAGGACCATCAGTGCAGGGAGCAGACGATCAGGCTGAGCTGCTGGGCGAAGGGCACCTTTACATTTCATGTAGGAGGACATGTACCCGTTTCCTTTGTCCTGAAGAGCCGTGTGTACAGGATCGTGCTGGGAGGCAGGGAGATGGTGACACTGTAGTCAGTGAAGGGCTGCAGGGGCGGGCAGGCAAACGTTCCCTTCCAGCCATGTAGCCTCTCCTCTCCCTTCACCTCTTCAGCCTCACAGGGAGGGGAAGAATGCTCCTCCAGCCGGCACCTGGCCCAAATGTATTGGCAAGCATCAAGGAGCCTGCAGGTCCAGTTCAGTTTGATGCTGGTGCTGGAAATCTCCAAGGTATCGGAGACAACCTGGAGGACCTCTGTGAAGGAAACATTGCAAGAGAGTCAATTCCTTCCCTTCCTCTTCCAGCCTTGCAGCCGACCTCCATCGTCCCCACCGTTTCCTCACTAGCTTGTCCCCAGCACAGGGTGGACGAGGCCATCCCTCCTTCTCTCACACTACACTCAGGGGAATGCACTGCCTGCACCTTCCTCTGGCCCGGGACCGTTCCCAGGGGTACTCTAGGTGCTGCAGTGACTGTGGGAGGGTAAGAGCAAGTACCTGTGTCCTCTCTGCAGCTGCCACCCTGGGGCTAGCAACTGATCTGGTGAGTGGTCCCTTTCATACCAGCAATGACTTAGCCAACAAATCCAGCAGCCAGAGCAGAGCCCTGCTCTCCCGCTCCTGGGCGCTGCACTGGGAGAGCGGCTGGGTCGCTCACCTACCCACAC